GAGGCTGAGGGAGCTGGACCTGTTCAGCCTGGAGAGGAGAAGGCTGAGAGGGGATCTAATCAGTGTATATAAATACCTCAAGGGAGGGAGTAAGGAGGATGGTGCTGGCCTCTTTTCACTGGTGGCCACCGACAGAACTAGAGGAAATGGCCACAAACTGAAACACCAAAAGTTCCACAGGAACTTAAGGAAATTTTTTTTTAACAGTGAGAACGATGGAGCATTGGAACAGGCTGCCCAGAGAGGTGGAGTCTCCTTCTCTGGAGATCTTCAAGACCCGCTCGGATGCAGTCCTGTGCCACGTGCTCTAGGTGACCCTGCGTGTGCAGGGGGGTCGGACTAGATGATCTCTAGAGGTCCTTTACAACATCAATGATTCTATGATTCTATGAGTTGATTTTTAAAATTTTGAGAATTAGAAAATCTTCATATTCCAGCAATACCTCAGATAACGTAATCAGGTGTCCTCCAGAAAAGATGGAAAGAACTGAAAATTATCATCAGTGTAAATTGGCACATATGCAAAAATAAACAATAATATCATTTTCCATGCATTTAATTCAATAAACACAGACTATTATTTACTGGAAAAATGATGGAAATTTCCATGTGCTTGTGTATTCCTATATTCTTTAAATATGAAGAGCTTTGCTACACAGAATAAGTCATCTAATATCCTCATTCCATTGCGAACATGGAAATATAGCCCCTGTCCAAAATTAAACATGAAATATATGTCAAATGTGTAACACACTAAAACAGTCTTCTCATTTTCTAATTTCAAGGTCATCTGGAATATGTATTAAAATGTAATTTCGTGTAATCAAACGTTAACGGCTAACTCTGGAAATCAATTCTTATTTCTCTTCTATGGTTTACATTACTTGCTTCTTTTCAGAAGTCCATGTTGATTTTGTATACTGAAATGCTTAAGCCAAAGAGTTAACTGATGTAAGCGAACTTCTGTATTTAAAACAAAGGATGACCAAAGAACCTCTCCTTATCGTCTACTCCTTTTTACGATCTTACTAGTTTAGCAAATGATCTCTGAATTCCTGCTAAAGGGATAAGATCTAGCAGCTTAAGTCTGAAGTCTAAAATTTCATTGCAAAGTATCCCTTATATCTTTTGCATTCTATTATCAAATTCCAACTCCTAATTTAGCAAACAAAAGTAAGCAACTCTCATCTACTGAAAATCAAGAAATTAATAAAAATATAAATAAGCAGCCAAGAAATATCCAGTGATGCCTCCTTGTCAAACTAGCAAGAAACTGCAGCGTAAGAATAGAGAAATATTGAGCAAGCCAAAAAGGTCAAGACACACATGCATTTTTATTTGACTGCTTTGTAACTCATGACTACTTAAGCACAGTGACTATATAGAGCGCAACTAAAAACGCTGTTGGTAGCTCTAGGATACAACATGCAGAATCCAAGTGCTACTTTCCCTCTCCATAGCTTCTCTCTCCTTGCTGCAAAAGCAGCAGTTTGACAGAGCTCTCCCTAAGTCTTTCAAGGTCAGCACCTGCTTTAAAGCAGAATTTTATCTAAAGAAAAACAAGTGTACTGGAAATGTAAATATTTATATAATCGCTCCACACCCCCCAGTCAGTACATGCATGCAATAAATCGTTAAATAGTATTAAAGACGGATATTGGCAGCATTGCCAAAGACGACTTGAACCACAATATTTGAGGTGGCCAACACCTAATTATTTAAGTTGGAAATCTGTCAGGGGCATCAGAATACACACATACAATTTTATGAAAAATAGCATACTGCTGTAAACAGCACTGAGCACTCTCTTTCAAGCCTTAAACAAGACACTTAAAAGAGCTTGTAGTTCAAAAGAGCGCTCAGGTATGGATTTAGATGTTGAATCAAGAGGGCAAAATATCACTGAAACTACAAAAACACTCCTGCACCACTTTCCTTTGCCTTTCCTGGGCAAACCTGCTCTGTGTAAAAAAAAACCTCTATATATTTAATGCATCACTGGAGAGACAAATCAACTGAGCGAAAGGAACTTTTTCTGCAATAAGAAGCTTCATTAAAACCAAGGCTGGTATCTTCGCACAACTTGTCTGTCCAGCTCCCGCTGTCGTCCTGCTCAACCAAGCCAGTCCACGAGCAACACGGGTTCTGGAAACGAGCGCAAGGGCATGCTGGCCTCGACACAACTCGCCCCGCGCGGCGGGCTACTCACCCACGTCGCCGTAGACCTGCGAGGTGTGGTACTGAGGAACGTACTGCGTCGCCATGTCGCCTGCGCCGCTCACCGGCGAGTACATGTGGCGCGGCGGAGGGGGGATCATGGCGGGAAGAGGAAGGAAGCCGGGCAGGGGGGGATGCGGAGGCCTGTGGATCACTGCGTGACCACCGGGGTGAAACTCTGGAGCCTGGGGGACCACCACAACCCTTCGAACACCGTTGTCCTCAATAACCTGCAAGAGGAGAGAACGTGCGTCAGGAAGAAGCACCCAGCAGAAGAATCAGCGTGGCTGGAAGGAGACAGCTTGACAGCTATGTTTCTATAGATACTTCAAACTACCAATGGCAAAATCCTTCTGAAAAAAGCAGCAGAACTGCTTTCAAAATGGAGAAAAGCAAGATAGGAGCAAAAAAAAGAACCCCCTTGGCAATGCTGCTAGAAGTCCCAACCCATGAAAGCACAATGAGAATAACCGCAGAGCGCAAGGCCTGGCTGCAGGCGAGTAGGCCCAGAGGCCCTCGGTTCAGCTCCTGGTACTGAAATAGAAAACACTCTTCACTCTGTGTGAGGATCAGCCACCAAGCGGAGAACAAACGGGTTGCTCCTTCAAGCACATCAGAGGCAGGAGAGATGGCCATGGGGACCTCTCCAGGTAGTACCACTAGTGGTAAATCTGCAACTGAACATGGCTCTGTGGGTTTGATCTTCTCTGAATGAGCTGATCATGGTATGCTTGACTGGGATGTACTGTGGGGAGAAGACACCTGGGATGCAATAAACAGCTGTTCTCTATTTCCTAGAAAAAAAAAGCAGGAAATGCCAAGGGGACTTCCCTGTGAGAGTTTTTAGATGAAATACATATTCTTAAAAGGAGGAGAAGCAAGAAAAAAAAATCTAGACTATTTGGTATATTTCCCAAACAAGGGACAAGGCAACCCTACGACCTACATTTTCTACGGTATTTGAAATCAGGTGTGGACAGATGGACTACATCCACATTGACAAGTAATCCAATATAACAGGGGCAGAAAAAAGCACTGAGTGCCAAGTCACTTCCACATTCACTGTTTGAGATTAAGGGCATTATATTGGGTTAGGTTTACTCTTGTGCATCGCTGTGAACATTTCCACAGGATATACGATTTAAAGCTCTTTGGAGGATCAATCACTGTTCTGGTACACATCTGGAATGGAGCTTCTGCCTTTATTCTCTCTGTAAGGAATCTCTTCTGCACACTGCGGCGTCTGCAAGCCAACTCGAAGAAAGGTAAGTGGGGATGCTGCAGGGAACCATTTCAAAACTTAGCTAATATATTGAGGAAAATGGTTATGTAGACAGAGCTGTATGCTTCTGGTAGAAGATTATAGAGGGAAGATTTTTATATAGCACCATGCAGAAAAGAAAGTACAATGCAGCAGATCATCTTGCTTAGATAAATAAGGAAAAAAAATGCCTATGGAGATTAAGTCCTCTAAGAGAACATAGCTTTAAAATAAACACACACTATGTGACTTTGAAAAGGGTTGGCTACCTTTAGTACAGAGAAATTGTTCTGTAACAAGAAAGAATAATTTGACTTAAGACAACAGTCTTCGTATTTACTGAAAGCACAGCTGTTTTGTCCCTAAGGCAGGATACAGTAACAGCAGTGAAGACATCTAGAACTTCGGTTCTCCAATATACTTCTCTAAATGTGGATATTTCATTTTAATCTCTTTGCACCAAAAACAGCCTCATCAAATATGCACATACACATTAGATAGCACCATACACAGCAGCAACATTCATATTCTAAATAAGAAAATAATTCAGACGTCCAAATGTCACCAGGTCCCTAGCCTTCCCTGCAGAGCTGCGTGAGGCACGTGCACCATGTAGGTTATGTGCACTGAGTGCATATACCCCTACGGTATCCCTGCATGTCAGAGTGAATTATGTGAGTTGGTTACTTCACGCTTAAAGAACTTTAAAGATGAACATCAAAAAGGGGTAACGAGGTGTGTGTTTTTAAGATGAATCACCAATTATATCAAGTCAACATGCTGAAACAAATATTCAGTAAACCTTTATTTATTTAAATCCATTAAGACTTCTTTGTTGCTGTTGCTTTCAGCCCATTATGCTGAATCTGTGCCAGTATTTTTTCTCCAAAAGGGTCCAGCATATTTTCTGATTGCAGCTTTATGTTGAACCTGCAGTCTGGAGATGATGTATATGGCAAGGATCTACACAGAACTTTATCACAAAGTTTATTAGAAAACTGATTAAAAACTTAAGGGCAGATTCAGATTATGCAGGATGCAGCACCCTTAAAAAGGGCTGCTTGCACAGTTTATAATTTCACTCTTTCAGATCAAATTTAGAATATTTGAGATCATCTAATATGTTTTCATGGATCTGTTGATATTCCAAGCAACTGCGAGATAGCTACCCAATTCATAGCAACAGGGGCCTTAAGTTCAGTAGAGTAAAAATCAGAGTTTAACGAATCAAGTATGCATCTGTCTACCTAAATTAAACATTAACTTAACTGTAGGGCCCTGTCAGGCAGCTGCAAAAAAGCAGCCCACAAAACACAATCATGCCAAATCCGTCATTTCAAACAAACAAACAAAAACCAAACAAAAACAAACAAACAAACAACAACAACAAAAAAACAAAACAGACATGAACACAGACAGCTTGGAGAGGAAGAATAAAGATCTAACATGCTTTCTTTCAGGGTTTCATTACTACAATTCCAAATGAAAAGAGAGGGAGAAATAAACAAACTCTCCCTTTTCTTTCCATATTTGTGAATTACTTAAAAAACGTGATTTATGTCATGCAAGAAAATCCAAAATGCTTTACTCCGTAGCTATCCCTGAGTTCCAGAGGTCAGTATATTGTGTCATTGCCAACAGTAGTTGAAACAAGTAGCGGCATGACAGAATTAAACTAAAAGAGGTAGATAAAGGAATGGTTATACAGAATTTGTTCTTCAAGCCTGATGGCTTGAGGCATTTAGCTGGTTTCCAATTTCTCTTGGAATTCAGCTGCAGCTGCAGACTTTAGAAAAATATACTAAGCCCAAAGAAACCACGATAAGTTACTTTCACGGATTGCTGCACTGAGTCTGGAGCAACTTTTAGCTCAACAGTGGCAGTTTTCCCTTTTAGCAGGACTGCTCTCTAATCTGACTTGTAACAGAGGCTTCCAACACTAACCACAGCAGCTGGTATGTTTTGTCAGCAGAAAGGACTTCAAAAGCCTTATAACCTACACGTTTTACTGGGTACATCTACTAGGATGAAAGCAGCAGAGAGGAGATCAATCCACCTGTACTCTGAACTGGATGGATGTGAGACACCGCCAGCTCTAAGGCTGCAGAGCTCAAGTACTTGTTGGAATGAACAAACTGCAGTGAAAGGCTAACGAGCTCATCCCAGGAAAGCTCAGTCCTTTAGTCCATCTGCTGCAAGTTGTACTCAATGGAAGGATAAGTTTATTTCACAAAAATTCATCAGAATTTTACAGGTTACAAAACTTCTTAAACAGTAATCCAACAACTGAAATTAAGCAGTCAAGAAGTTAGCTTATAACAAAACTAAGAATTTCAAATATTTCAAAGTTCTTTGTATAAAAAAAATGAATCTTAATAAAAATCAAGCCTTTTTTATTATGATTCTAAAGATAAATGGCCTTTCACGATTTTTAATTCATTCCACTTCCAACTATTTGAGATCTCAACTGTGACTGATGACCAACTTACTTTCAACAGCTGAAAGTAAAACCATGGAGACTAGTCCATGTTCTAGTCTGTCCAATCTAACAAACTTTTCCTAGAGGAAAAATTTTCATGGAAGTTCTGATAAATTACAAAGCATCTCTTCAACACTGGGAGGTTTCTTGTTGCATTATTTTCTTTTTAGTGTATACCCTAGGATGGGCACATAGACGCTGCAAAAGGAGAGTGCTCACGGCAGCAGAATGTCACGAGAAAATGAGAGTGGCATTCATCTGCTTTGATTTTTAAATCTGACCTACTAATCCCCTAGACATCATCTATAAGGCAGTACATCTCACCATAAGCCAGGTGCACCAAACCAGTGAGATAAATCAGCCTTTCAACCACCTTTAAAGGATGCCCAGGCTGTCTAGCTTGGATCAGATTTAATTTTCAGACATCTCAATCAGGACATCTCCAGCAGTGACAAGCACTGAGCCCCATTTTAAAGATAAGCTGTAGAAGTACATATGGTATGGCACTTTGTCCCCAGTTAAAGGTTGATATTCTTTCCTGCTGCTTTCGCACTTCGTCCATCTGATCTGTTTTACTCCTCATCTGCAGGGAACTTCCCAGAGATAGAACTACGTGTATGTCCTCATGGCTACACTGCTCTGGGTAAAAACATCTATGAAACTGTAATTCAATACAGATCCCAGAGAAATCATTATTTGAATCACCAATCTTCTCTGTGCTCAGATGGCATTGGGAGTCTGAACTCTGTAAAATGTCCCTGTTACTGTATTTCAGTAGTTGATCTGTAACTAAATGGCATACAAACCATGAAACCACGAGTGTCCCATCACAGAGGTACTATGGGGCATCCCCCATTATTTACTTGCATGATCATTGCGACCCCGACACTTGACACATCACTTTACCCAATTAGCTATTTCAGCTCTACTCCTAAAATTTTCACACAAAGTGATAAGAAACGAATGAAAGGACATACCTGTGGGGCATATCCAGGAGGCACATAAATAGTAGGCACTGAACCATTTGGGGACATCATTGGAACCTGAGCAGGACCTAAATAGATTAAAGAAATATTCAGTACAGCATCATTTAATTAACTCAGAAAGATCAAAAGAATACGCTGGACTACAAAGCATCTGTGAAAAAAAAAAGTATGAGATAACATGAATAAGCAAAGGCAGTGAACTGTATAGTTAAAATTATAGCAAATGGCAATCCAAGAAACCGAAGACATTTGAAAACAAATACCACCAGCACTTTGTAACCAACAGATTTCTCCCTTCTTTCAGTAAGCCCCAGAAGAACTTATGGAGGTTCTCAACACTTCCAAAACTTCTTAAAAGGTAAGTCAAAGGAAGTGTTGCATAACAAAGAGATATAGAAAAGACTTTAGAACACTACCAACTCAAAAACAAACAAAGCAACAACAACAACAAAAAACAAACAGAAAAAAACCCCAGAAACAAATTATGAAGACTAGATGTTACTCAGTTTTGAAGAATTTTTTTTTATAAGAAACTTTCTTTGAAACTTTCTTGTTGAAATGCTGTTCTGTCACTAGTGATCTATCACCTACAATCACCACAGTACCGCAGGAATGAGATAGTAAGAAAGACACTAATTTTTAATGTCCCAGAGGGATGCCCAGTAAGTCTACCCACCATCAATGATAAAAGGTGTGATCATGATCCTGCTACCATGCAAACTGGAAAAAAAATGTAACAAAGAATGGAATTTCCTGACACTTAAGCAAGTATGGCAGAACTGGGAAGTGTTAACGGGGCACCTGTAGATAAAGCAATGCCTCAGAAATCTGATACCTTCAAAGAACCCTGAGCAAAAGGATAGCATTATGCACTCAGGTTTTCTAAAAGCTTTTGCCTGTCTCAAAGACTCTTAAAGAAGCAACTGTGCCTTTGGCTGAAAAAGGAGGAGGGCTGCTCATGAATAACTAACTGGCTTGGGCACAGGAAACAAAGGTGAGAGCAGATCACTTGCTTCCCTAACTGGCTGTGGGAACCAAAGGAGTCCCGCAGGGATGCGAAGAAGCAGCTCTTCATGGTATTCACAAAACTTCCAGAAAAGGGGAATAAACAGCCAGGTCTACGAGCTGTCTACTCAGAGAGCTGCTAGAGCATCCCATAGCGCTGAATGACTAGATGGCAAAACGCTTCAGAAAGAGCAAAGCAATGCTGCTAGCTGAAGGTATGTATTTACAATGTCCAACAATAAGTTAGCTGTGGCTAAAAGCAGACAATGGAGTTGTTGTATGTGTTTCTAAGGACATGCCAGCCCAGTGCTCCTCAGTGGCATTCACAGAAGGAAACAGAACACTAATAATCATTCCTGAGATAATGGCACGCAAATGGAAAACACTGTCCACACCGTGCCCCAGCACCTCGAGCACTATGTGCAAGGCCTGTCTCCCTCTTTCCAAAAGAACGTAATAGAAAACATCTAAAAGGGAAATTTTACAAAGATTTTGGTGCCGCTTTACCAGGAAAGAGACCAGGCTAATTTCACCTGGTATCAACTAAAAGGTTTACAAGAGTGAAAAGGGAGTTTCTTGTGAAATGCACAGCTAAACAGTGCCACTCACTGCTGTAAGATTGTTGTAGAAGCAGAAGGTCAGGTTGAAAAGGAATGGAAATGTTACTGGGAGAAGTAATCCATGAAGAGCTCTGGAAAATCCAAATATTTTCTGGCTCCAGAGGCTCTTATGCTAGAAACAAGAAAGCAATTTCTGTGAGTGCCCTGTTCTTACGTTCTCCCCTGCAGTATTTGATCCTGGCCTCTATCAGAGCGAGCAAGTTGGCACAGGCTTCAAGTGGGGCCGTGTACAGAGCGCCTCACATTCGTGTCTAAAATACAAAAGGCAACACATTAGAAAGCAACAAAACACGGCACAATCTGATCAAGGCTCATGGCAAGACCACAAGATTGGGATACAGACACCATTTTGCAGCAGATTTCTTATCTACCCTATGACAAATCCACAAGACTTATGAAATGTACCTTTAAAAGTGCAGGAAACCCAAATTTCTCATTAAGTTCACCGAAGTTACGAAAAGCAGCATCCAACTCATCCAACTGGAGTGAACTTACTGCCTGATAGGGCATTCTTAGCTCTCACATTAACACTTTCAGATCTTAACACAGTTTATCTAATGGAAAGCGCTAACCAAACACAAAGTGTGGTTATATTAGATCAGCACCGTCCATTTAAATAAGAATGGAACTTGACAGAAAAAACAGAGATAACTCTGCCTGAATGCCAGGAATGGGATAAAGGAACAAACAGCATTCTTTAAAGAAGCAGCAACATGTCTACAACAACATGCACAAGTTCATATATACACTGGCTGGAAAAGAACTGCAGCTTTACTCTCTGTGAAGTGCTAACTCCTGATTGTGGGGGCAAAGAGTTTTCAAGAACAAGGTCTTAGTTGAAAGATTAACTGAGCTGTGTAACAACAAATAATAAAACTACAGTATGCTTTGCTTTGAATATTGAACCTCCAGGTCTTTTTGCTCAGGTAAAATTCAGACTGTTTCAGGGTAACATTTGTGCAATAGAAGAGAAAGAGTGATGTGAAAATCAGGGAGAGCTGAAGAAGCACTGAAAAGTATTAGTTTACAATAAATGGGGAAAAGTCAACAAGTAATTTAAAATTACCATCAGACCAATCTGTCAAAAATTGATTCTTAATTAACTGGAAGGTTTTATACAACCTATATCTTGCATAGTTTACCTCTAGGTTCTTCACAAGAAGACACAAGACACAAGACACAAGAAAGTTTTGCTAAACTCACCTTTATCAACACATACGAACAGCTACTCATTAACGCTCAATTTACATGGAACTAAGCCCAAAACTACCAATGTTTTTTATAACAAACTCAGTGGCCTGGGAGGATGAAGGAAGAAGACGGACAGCCTGTTTCTTTGTGAACTGGTAGGTATTTCCATGCTTGGCTATTTGTTTGTTCCACAGTCTTTAAGCATTTGTCTCAATTAAGAATTATGTCCCGATTAACAAACCGTACGTCTCTGTACAGATCACCTATGCAGTGCTTTAAATACCTCTGTCTTGACAAACAAACTGCAGCTGTTATCAGCAATCCCGTACAAAGGTTGGCCCGCGACGCAACGTTCCTCGCAAAAGGAGCTGCTCTACTCCACAAGCCCACAGGCACAAAAATAAAACCAAAGGCAATGGGAACCTGGGAAATTCTCGCAGCATCAGAACAACAAAAAAAAAACATGCCTGCATCTGAGTTCCAAATTTTTTTTCCAAAAAAATTTTCCAAAATTCCAAAAAAGTTTCCCAAATTAAGGTTTTTTTTTCTTTTTTTTTTTAAATATTCAGGATTAAGGGCAAATGCTAACACACTTCCAGTGAGATTTCTGAACAACTGTCAAGTCGGATGACATAGAAACATGCAAGGAAAAAGGCAAGTACGAAAAAAAAGGTCACCAAACTATGTATTTTAACGAATACTGGATTTTTGCAGTGATGCTACTGACTTCTTAATGGAAAGCACATTATTACCTACAAAACTGTTTTAAAAATCTTTTCCGTATTTAGAAATGATTAAACACAAATACTTTATAAAAGCAGAAATACATTTCTTGTTCTGTGTTTTTTGTTTTGAAGCAACTAAAGCGAAGCTCTGGGCTTAAGTGAAATATATTACAAGAGAAATTCCCATGTTTTCAGGTATTGGCTGGACTGGTATGTGGAAAAAACAGTATATTTTAGCAGGAGATGAGAATGATTTAAGTATCAGCAAATAACAGCATCAGGAGCCACGTTACCCAAACATCTAATTCTCTATACTGCACACAAACACAATTTGACTTCACCCAAATGACTATTATTACAAATAATGATGACTTTACTCTTGTAAGAGGATGTCTACAGCCTTCCGTATTCCCCAAAGTGGAAAAGCAGCAGCTGTGGGAAAAACCTTGCAGACACACAGCCATTTTAAACTCTGCTTTTGAAATATGACTTATTGTGCACTGAAAGGGGCCAAGTTAACCCAAGACGTGGGCATTTCCCCATGCTTCTAAGTTACCCTCGTAGAGGAATTTACTATTTCGCTATTTCGAAAGGGGAGCCCCACAAACAGCCTCCAAAGGAGCACTTCGTTCCCGGCTGGGAAGGCAGAAGGGAGATGCCTATCAGCGAGCACGCAGCACCGGCCGCGCGTCCCCTGCACAGGAAATACACGCACAGAAACGGCCGCGGCGGCAGAAACGCCCCCGCGCACAAACGGCCGCGGCGGCAGAAACGCCCCCGCGCTCCAGGCGCGGCTGCTC